TTTTAGTTGCATAAGATTTTAGTCTATTAAATCTACAGTAGATTTAGTTGACACATCTAATGGGTTTAGTCAAATTGTAATGCATTATTTATCTAAAATAGTTAGATGGTTCTCTAAAAAGTTCATTATATACTCCCTTGAGAAAGAAAATCTATTAACCTGTTAATATGAATGATATTAAGGTTCGAACATGCAATACAAACACAGATTTAACTGCCGTGACACATAACATGTCTTTATTTTTCTTAAAATTAAAAAAGCACGTGAAGGAATATATTATTCTTTTTAATTAATAATATGTTCATTCTTTGTAGCATTTTGCATACAACATTATTCATTCTTTCAAGCAGACATATTTTGTATAAATGAAATATAGATTGATTCTTAAAGTTATTCAGTCAAGAGTATTGAGTGAATTTCTCTTTGTTTGATTAACATTAATGACGGACAGCAGCAGGTCGCTTTAAGGCCGAATGCACAGATCCAATACACTGATACACATCCGAAATTCTCCCAACTGTTTATCTGTACTTAAGACATAACCGACTGTGTTTACGTGAATACTCGCCAAAACGCATTTTGACATCAATTTGTGTGTATTTGTCCGTTCAAGCGAGAAACGACGCAAAAGAGCTCAATTTAGTACTCGTGAACTGTCTGAGAGGGCTAAATTATGATGACATTATTCATAAACACTAGTGTGCATGTGTCAGTTTGCTGCTAAACTCCCTGTGTTTGTGTCTCAGGACTCTGTGTGGGCAATGAGTCAAGTGTCACAGTCAGTCCTGCAACAGCAACAGCAGCGGTTTGAGACCGTCACTTCCGGCAAGAAGAAGAAGAAACAGAAGATGGTACGGGCTGACCCAAGCCTTCTAGGTGAGTGTCGGCGAAGTCATTCATAAACAAACTGTGTTGTCAATTCAAAACTTGATATGATGTGCTGGGAAATTACTCCTCAAAAAAGTTTACCTGTGACCTAAAGTTCTTCAATTTGTTCAAACCTAACATAATTTTATTGAGCCGCAGAATAACTTGTTTAATGCACAGATAACCCTGGATTATCCCGCTTATACCATGCCCTGCTTTGATCAGTTAAAGCTGTTATTGATGTTTGCATCGCAATATTTAACCGAAAGTTAAAATGATGGTGGTTATTTTCATCAGACAAAGATAAAGTAGTGTGTAAATTTACATTAATTTAAATGAGAAATTGTAGCATTTATTTGAATTGCATTAATATAAAATAGTTCTTAATCTGACTGGAATTACCTGCATTTCAAATGGTTTTAATGCACACCTTCCAGCCAATCTGAATCGAGTATGCAGACAGACCATGGTATAAGTGTGTGTGTATGTATATATATATATATATATATATATATATATATATATATATATATATATATATATATATATGTATATGTGTGTGTGTGTGTGTGAGAATAGAGAGAGAGAGTTCAATAACAGTATATTTATTGCCTTTTATAAAAAGTCAAAAACATAATTGTCCAGATGCATTACAATGATAATTTAGAGGAAGAATTATCATAAAATGAATCCTCTCTAATCGTAGATATTAATTGTAAAATGAAAATAAATTCAAAATATTTTCTTTATGCAAAATATTATTTTTGTAATGAATATAATGTCTCTGCAGGTTTTTCTGTTAATGCTTCATCTGAGAGACTCAACATGGGTGAGATTGAGACCGTGGAAGACTTTTGAGGCTCGCTGATCAACAGGCTCCCCCTACCGACCGTTTCCCTTCTGAACAGCTGCCCGTATATTCCCCTCAAACTCTCTTTTCTGGTTATTTTTTTCCCCTCCCCCTTTTTGTATCGTCACTTCTCTAATTTGGAGTAGATTTGAACAGCAAGTTTTTCTTCCTCCCTAATCCAGAGGAAACCACAGTTGCAATAACAGCGCTGCCCCACAGCCACGAAAAGAACCAAAAACACAAAGCCCTGAGTAAAGGAAGAGAGAGGCTTGCTTCTGCAGGAAAGGAGTCAATGTTTTCAGTGTCCTTCCACTGAGATGGAGCGTCTGCTCACAATCATGCTCATCTCCCGACTGATGTTTGTAAGCGTGAATAGAAGGATTGCAGAGGAAAAAAATGATGTATTATCCCCATTACAATTTCCTTTTTAATTTATTTGTTCCTTCCCTCGTTCTTTTAGTTTTTTCCATTCTCTTCCCTTCTCTCCTCTTCCGCTTTGCCGCCCCCATGTTGACGGACGTCGAAAACAATGTAGGACTCGAGGAAATGTCATCAACAGTGTCCTGTTTTAAGGACATGTTTGAAAGTTCCAGACACTTATCCATTTCTTTGTAAAATATTAGGCTGTTTAAAGAATAAACTTTCAATTCTGCATCTGTATTATAATATATGGAAATTATGAACCAGTGGAGTCATACTTTTTTTTTTATTACAGTACGACAAATAAATCAAAACAGTCTCTTGTGTGGGCTGATCTGCACGCTTTTGCTCCTAATGCACAAAGCAGGGTTGTGCAAAGTCGACTTGCAAATGTTTACACGAGTTGCTATTTACAAATTTGCATGATACAGATCCCACATTCAGGGGATTTTAAAGTTGTGATTTCCAGGCCTCGTATATTTGAAGTACATATGGGTAGAGTTTGCTATACATCTCTGATCGGCTCTCAAGTATTTCATTGGCTATCAGTACCTCTTTATGTGAAGTCAAATTTATTTTTTCAAATACTTTTCTGAAATGTATACAGTGATTATGAATGACTAAAAAAAAAATCATAGTTCCCTGGTTGGATTTTTATCAAGTTTAATTTGTAATTGTAAACAAAAAAAACCTACTTCCTAAAATTGACATTCTCTTTAGTTTTTTTTTCCAATGCATATTGGTTGATGAGTCTCAAGCCGAGATTAAGCCTAATCCTGGAATTGTTTCCTAAATAACCACAGGAAATGTTTTTTAGAGCATTATTATTTAAAAACCAGAAAAAATTTTGAAATGCAAATTAGACCCCCAAAAAAAGTATACCTATACAAGTCACAAAATATATTGTTAATATTAGTGTCATATGAAAGTTGAATCTGTAACCATGCTCTCCTAACAAGAGTTGATATTTGTAGCTTATAAACAGTAAGTCCCACCTTTGAAAGGACAGTTTTGTACTGTTTGAATTTGTTTGTTTTTACAAACTCTGAGATCAGACTCAAAGTTAAGCTTAATTGTTATAAATGATTACTTTATTATTAATTGACATAGTGTAAGTTCTGGTTACAAAACATAACTTATATTTAACGTGAAATATTCCTTAAATTAGTTCCCTAAAGCAGGCAAATTCAATGAGCGGTTATTCCACAGTGTCGTGTGCAGAAAATGGCCAAAGAAACCCTTCAGAAACCCTTCAGAGTTGTAGCAGTTTGTTCCTGTCTGGTGTTTATGGAAGGGAACTCGGCATCTTAGAAAAATATTGATATGTACTATATACTCAGTTCATGTCTCCATAACAACATCAGTAGAAGAGTTTGATGGCAGGGTGAAAAAAAGCCTTGCAGGAAAAGCTTTTTAGATTTTAAAAAAGTTACGAGGCCTATGCAAGCCCTTTAGCCTCGACTGTAGTTATAATTTGCTAAATGTATATATAGCAACAGCTACTACACAATAATATTAAAGACACCATTTGTAATGAAAACATTTTATTAAGCAAATTCACAAGATGAAGCAAAGTGAAGAGGTATTTCATGTCATAGCCAACCTGATCTCACAAGAAAATGTAACTGTTATATGAGGTGGCGTTTTCTTATGAATTTGTATGATTTAAATCGTACAAAAATGAAACGCTTAGAAAAAGGAAGCACTTTATTTTTCAGTCCTAGTCACGGTAATTACAATAACTGGGTTATAACTAGGCACTAACCATGAACCTAAACTTAACCCCTGTAGTTACATGGAAAAAAAATATACATGATCAGTAAGTTTTTAGTTTTTTTTTATTTACATAAAAGCAATTTTCAACTTTTTTTATGTTAAACAAGATTTAACTTGTTTTAAGTTTGATGTGATTTAAGTTGTAATGACTTAAACAGCCAAGTTGATTGTACTTAAATTAAGGCACCAACAGTGGTTTTTACAGTGACCTTATATTGCCCAGTATTTTCTAAGTACACTGAAAGTAAGGCCTACATGTACTGTGAAATAAAGTGCATCCAAACATAAGCATGTAGGTGTACTCCTATAACCGTCACTGAGAAGTAACCAGATCGCATGAAAATGTATGAGATACAAATCCATATGAATTAACCACTAATTCACCAAAACGTAAAATAGTTACGAATTCCCATGAGATTGTTGGTCCCGCTGTTTATATATTGTTTTCTTTAGCACCAGCATCAAATTATGCACTTTGTAATAACTGATTATAATAACTATAGTGCATGTTATAGTATTTTATTTTGGTCACTTTAGGGTCGAATTCTCATTATTAACTAATTATTAACTATGACTTTTGCCTCAGTAAACTCCTAATTACTGATTATTAATAGTTAGTAAGGTAGTTTAGGTATAGGTATTAAGGGATGTAGAATATGGTCATGCATAATAAGGCATTAATATGTGCTTTAAGAGTACTAATAAAAACAGCCAATATCCTTGTAATATGCATGCTTATAAACTAGAGAACTGGACCCTAAACTAAAGTGTTACCTTTTTTGTCAGTATTTCACCATTACGTATATTGTCCCTAATTGTGAATCATGCCAACATAATCGAACTGAATCATGATCAAACTTCAGATTTCATGATGCCTCGCACAGTTTGATGTCACTTCTACCTACTGCGAGATCCATCTCTATGATCCTAAATCCCACAGAAGAGTAGCGTGGGACACGAGGGCCGTCATCATCGTGGTTTGAAGAAGGTGGGCAGTTACCAGAAGAGTTGACAAAAGTCTGCACTGTCCATACAGAGTCCTCCCACCTAAACCCAGCTTACCCCTACATCTCTCACTCGGTCTCTCACTTGCTCTCTGTGTTCTTTCATTAACGCAGCAGTCCAGGAGCGGAGAACAGAAGTGTCCGATCAGGAACCATGGGCCTCGGCAGAAGCAGTTCCAGTGGTTTATCTCGGCTCGCCTTCATCACCGCTCTGGCATTCTGCATGGCTTTTGTGCAGACAGGTAACATCACCATCTTCCCATCTAACCAATGATGCTATTCTCATAAATGTGTTGACTTATTAGGAAAGGCTAATAGGGTTTTTAATAAGCGGGTCATTCTGATTGGTTGGGTTGAGTGAATGAGTGTTGAATTTTGTACACTTGGAAGTGTAGATGAGTGTCTTTCTGAGCCCATCTTGATGAAGGTTCAGAATTACTTCATCTCTGAAATCTCTTCATTGTGCACACGTGTCATTTTCGCCATGTTGACCCTCTTGGTTTTGCAAGGCCTCTTTCCAGTAGCATGAAAGCGAGACCTTCAAAACTGAATAGCAGAAACTTGATTTTAATGAACATTTGCTTAACTTGATTGTTTCCATGGGCAATAAAATGACAAGAAAAAGGGTAAGTTCATTATTGTAAAAAAAAAAAGAGTGTTATTGTAAAGCGAACCAAAATAAGTGAAATTGGAATGTTTCACTGAACCAATCTCAGGATCAAGTCTTTCCAGTGGCGCAAGTGTGCGAGACTCTTGCAGACTGAAACGTCACACTGTCTTCAATGACTCAGACCTTCTCTTTTTCACATCCAGGTGTTGAACCTGAATTTAGTCTTGGGATCAGCGCGTACAAAGAGTTCGTTTGTTGGACTCTTGAGGAAAACAAGGCATTTATACATCTGAGCACAAAGTTCATTTGTACAAAAATTTTTTTATTAGATTTGCATTCTAAAAAGGTTGTCTTTTTCGACCATCATCTCTAAAATAGGACCTTCCAAATGATATATTAAAATCACAAACCTGCTCATGAAGTGTGAGAAAATATGTTTAAGAATTTCCAGCCAGAATACATGATGTAATACTGTTTGTTTGTTTTCTTCTTCACATTTTCTAATGTGAACTTATTTGCATTGATGTCATGGGAGCAAAAATTATTCCAAAAGTCTGGATGATCATGATGTCACTGTCTGTTTGGATACATTTCATAACAGAATTTGTGGTGGAAGAACTTTATATATATATATATATTGATATATTACTTATTAGAGAAAAAAAAAAAAAAAATATATATATATATATATATAATTATTTTTGAATTAATTATAAATATTCAAATAAATAAAATAAAATATATAAAATAAATATTAATAGCTCTGCTGCTGTCAATATTGGACTCTGAATTTAGGTGTATACAGGAACGATTTTGAATGCATGATGCTTCATCTCAACCATAACTATGGCTGTTTATTTGTATTATTTTCAAGTTATTTGCCATTTTTTTGCTTTAATTTACATTTTGTTGGGGAATTTTTTTTTCATGAAGACGACAAATTCTGCAATACTAAACCTTGTTGACTAGTCCTCATCAAGTCATGTAACCTTCATATAATAACGCTTTATAAAGTACAGATTGTTTCAAAGCAGCTTCACAGTAATAAACAGGAAAATAACAGAATTAATAATGCAAACTTCAAATTTGAGATCCGCAATACAGTTCTACAAAGATCATTATTCAGTTCAAGTCAGTTCAGTGTTGATTCAGTTCAGTTCAATAACTGTGTGAAGTCAATTAAAAACTAGTTCAATTTAGCTCTAAGCTAAGAAGACAATACTGTCATTATTCAGATCAAATCATCCAACATTGATTCAATTCAGTTGATGTTGATTCAATAACAGTGCCAATGCTGCTAAATGTATCCATTATGAAACAAATTTGATTCAGCTGTAAAGCAGCTCTCCAGAAAACAATAGTGTCATCATCCAGCTCAATTCAATTCAAGTTTTGTTCACCTCTGAGGTCAAAATCAATGATATTAGTAATAAATACCCAGCTAACAGTGAACATTCTCCGAACTTTAGCTAACGTTCTGGCAAGTTATGATCTAATATCTTCCAGTAACCTTAATTGAAGGTTTGTTCAAAGTTATCTAATGTTCTCAAAACGTTAGCACAAAAACATTTATACATTGTTGAAGTGTTTTTTTCTGAAACGTTTTATTTGAACGTAACGTTTTTTAAATGTTACCAGTCTCAGAACATTCAGAGAACATTCAAACATAACATTCCTATAATGTTTGTAGAATGATCAAATGGAAATTTTCAATCATATAAACAAGAAAACTTTTTTTTAAAACAATTTAACTCTTTCCCGGCCATTGGCGGAATTTTCCGGCTTTCCATGTTTTCACTGTTATAGGCTACGGTAGGGGGCGCTATAGCGTATCTTCTGAAAGAGTACTGAATCTCCTGGTCTTTGAAAAAAACACGATTTTTGTACAAAATGTTGCTTTTTTGAAAAGAAAGTGTTTTAAGAGTGAATGAAGCTATAGAATAAAACAGGTGTTCAGATAAAAACAACTTTTCTGGGGACCATGACATTTTTGTAAAAAAAATTTTTTTTTAAATGCTGGCTGTGGTCGGCAAGTTTTTAAAAGAAAATGCTGGTGGTAAAAAAAAAAAGTGTTAAAAAATGTACGTTTTGAATGTTCCGAGAACTGAATGGGAACGTTAGCAAAACGTCCTTAGAACACATTTTTGTTAGCTGGGTTTAAAACTTATAGAATGAACGTCTCTGTATTTTTTTACTGTAGCGGGAGTCAGGTGAGATGAGGACATGGGCACAGGCAACACCCTGGCACACACACTGTAGCGGACCATTGTGTCATTCGCACGCATCTGTCTGTGTGTTGTCATCTCACTGTTGTGTGTTAAAATACAAGAAATGAGACAACGTCCTTGGCCTTGTCCTATTGCCAAATGTTTAAGCAGTACTTAATAAATATTTAAGCAGGCCATGAAGTGACAAACACACACAAAAAAGTGTGCTTTTTCAAATCCCCGGGTTGTGCATGCTGACGCCGTGGTGCGTGCTTTTCCACAGACTGGCTTCATAAACAAGCTTGTTTAACTTGCAGTACTGGCTGTGTTTAGGCCGTTGGTTCCTCTGCCTCTCTGACCACACAAGTGCCTGTTTGTACTCTCGAGTGAAGGGCTCATTGATGTATCGCTGGCCTAGAGCCCCGGTGTGCCGTACCTACAGCCGGCTTCAAGTCCAGAAAGTGTGCGTCTCGCTGAGCAAACACACTATTATTAAAAATACTCATACGCTGGCCATCCCCAACTCACTGACTTCAAATATTAACCTTTTATTTTAAGATTTAGGGTGGAATATGAGCATTTTAGCATGTTTAATGGCTTGGAAAGGTGGTGTAAGTGGCCGCTACATGTAAATACGTCTATTTTGGAAACCTAATAGGGGTTTCGATGCAAAAATGAGCAATCAATGTGTGTCTTGTTGAGGTGGTTTTGGCCTGTGCCATTGTTTAGTTATTTAAATATATTGGTACTATTAATTTATTTAGTATTCTTACTTGTAGTAGTTATTAGTTATTTAAAGGGTTTTTTTCTTTTTCTTTTTTTAGTATTCTTACTTGTAGCTTGTCATACGTTGGCCATCCCCAATTCGCTGACTCCAAATATGAACCATTTAGGGTGGAATAAGAGCATTTTTGCATGTTTAATTGCATGGAAAGATGGTATAAGTTGCCACTGCATGTAAATATCTCTATTTTCGAATTATGCTTTCAATGCACAAATGAGCACAATATGTGTCTGCTTGTTGGGTTAGGTTCAAGCCATGCCATTGGCTTGTCCAAGCAGGGTCAGGCTAGATATCCCACTATTTATCCATGTTCTCTCTGTCTGTCTTTGTCCCTTCATTTTGGGGTCAGAAACTTTGTCCATAAGGTGCCCTTTGGGAATGGTGGGCAAGCAGTAGCACAGGAAATGGGCTTTGTGCTTCGTGAGTATGGTGTAAGTGAGAAAAGTCGCATGGCTGTTCCATGCCTGTGGGAGATGTGGAATGTGAGTGAGAGATGTGAGGAGAAGAAGAGTGAAGGAACGCGCAGGACAAGATACCATAGTGAGAAGCGAGTGCTAATCCTCCATAAAGATGCCCATTGAGTCATACATAATGTGACTCATACATAATGTGACTCACATCTATCTATCTATCTATCTATCTATCTATCTATCTATCTATCTATCTATCTATCTATCTATCTATCTATCATACTTAATATCTATCCATCCATCCATCCATGAATAGCAGATAATATAATAATAGCAGATCATATCTACAGATATCATCTGTAGATATTTACTAATTTAAATATATCATCTTAGGGTTTTTCATATATATATTTGGTATTCTTACGTGTAGACATCATTGTTATTTATATCATCCTAGTTGCATTTTATTTAATTATTTAGTATTCTTACATGTATATTCATTATTGAATTATTAATTATTGAAAGATATCATAGTATGTTGTTTTCATGTTTTTGCCTTTCCGTTTTGGAACGATTTTGTGAAAATAGCTTAAAAAACATTCTCGAACTGCATATATTGTTGATTCACCTTCGTTTTTTCCTTCTATCAGAAACAGTGGCTGATTCCTCCCCTACACTGCAGAATGATAACCAGGACACACTATCCGGTGCTGGAGCCATCGATGTGACAACAAAAGTCCCTTACCAGGACCTGACGGGAAACACCTTCTCCTTTGACTATGAGGACAGTACACATTCAGTAACCCTGGATGAGGAAGGTAAAGTTACTCCACCCATGTTCACATACTGTATACTTAATCACACACGTACTGAAATAGAGCATATTTTATATTTACTAGCTCAGAAATGGCTTGGTAATTAATCCTTCTCCAGGTATTGACTATATATAAGTCTTTGTTAAAGAGAATTTGGTGTCATTATGTTATGGTGTGTGATTGACAGGTGTATTATTTCTGTTCCCAGTTGTGCTGGGGCCAGGGGCCATCACAGCTATCGTCATCGCAGTGTTCCTCGGAGCCTCTGTTCTTCTCGCTCTCATTGTGATCACGCTCAGAAAGTTCACTGCCTCTTAGGAAGGGACATTTATGTTTTCATTTTCTCCCTTCCTCAGTCTCATCTCTTCTCTTTGCTCGCCTTGTTTTTCCCTCTCCTCCATCTGTACTCATTGGTGGCAGGTCCCTCGTGAAATGGTTGTTTGCAGTTGTTCTTTACTGTTACTCTGAGACTTGTTTTGGGAATTCTTTCCCCTAATCTTAAAAATAATTATTGGCATCGATGGGCCCATGAAGAACCATCCATGGAACCTTTTCATTGCACAAAAGGTTCTTTATAGTGGACAAATGTTATTTAGATTAAAATGTTCTTCTATGGCATCACTGTGAAAACCTTCCTTGTGGAACCTTTATTTTTAAGATGAAAACTCAAGACAAAGCAAACCAGACAAAAGGGCACTTGCAATCAAGAAGAGAGATTATGGGTGCATTTATTTTGTGACCATATTATCAATGTAGATATCCTCTTGTAATTAGGTTTAGACTGAAAGATTATAGGGTTGTTGTTGTTGTTTTTTTTTCAAAAGAAGTAAAAAATATTGGTTTTAGTCAAATTTTACGATATAGTTTACCATTCATGTGCAACATTTTTTTTAGTTCATACTGTTTTCTAATCTAATGTATACCAATTTCCAATTTTTTTGTCATTACATTACACTGATTTCTGTAAAATTATCATGTTTAAGATAAAGAGTGTGAGTGTGAGTGTTGTGTATTGAGAGTGTGTGTGTGTGTTGTGTATTGAGAGAAATCAAATCAGTCTTTGAGAGTGAGTGTTTTAACTGAACTTTTATACATAAACTGATGAATTTGTGTGCCACCTTATGATTAGTCACTGAACAGATTAAAAGGCCATGTTTAATCCTCCTCCAAGAGTGTTTTTTTTTCATTTAAGCTTTTAATATTATGAAATGAGTTATTATGCAAAATAATTGGTTATTTAGCATGTTGTTGCCTATTCTCTTTATTGTCAGTTGAGGAGGAAGAGAAACAGCCCTAAAAATTAAAAGAACATGTTCAAATATACCTTAACACAGCAGAGGCTTTCAACAAATAACATTATTATAGTTTAGACTTTAAAATATTAATTATTATAATTGGATACTTTTTATATTGCATCTATTAGATATTATGGTAACACTTAAAGGTGCTCTATGCAACTTTTAGCGGCCTCTAGTGGTGATGTTTCAGATTGCAACAAGAGCGCTCGTGCTCGTGTGCGTGTGCGATCTCAGGAGCGAGCATTCACTACCGGCCACACGGAGACTTTCAACGCAACGGCGAAAGCATCACACAACATGCTGGAAACTCATGTAAACTCCCACTGCAACGTTACAATAATAGGCTACTTTTATCAGCTTGACGTTGAACTAATGCTCCACGCTCGTACCATGATAACATTACATTGACTGCATTTAGCCGGCATGTGATGTTATCTAGGATAGACTAGGCATTTCACTAACTATTCGTGTATCTTTCACAATCAGCAATGTCAACATAGGTGAATGTATAATATGATAACGAAAACGGTTAGTGAACTAGACTGAACAATGTCAGTGTAACAGTAAGACAGTAGGAAGTAACATTACTGTACTGAACGTGTCTGGAAATGTTTATTATAAACAATATGATAGTGGGATGAATTACGTTATAGCGTAACGATCTATAACGTAGATCTAGTACATAAAACAAGTATCCTAAAGCACCCTTTCTTATCCTGGAACAGTCTTTTGTATTTGTTAAAGATGTATGTACATTAATGGACTGGTTTGTCAACATCTCATCCTCAACCTCGGTCAGAAGGTTTGTAAGCAAATAAGTTCATGACAGCTTCAGTTCCCAAGCATTGATTTATTCCAATAAATCCACAAGTAGTTTGTTTACATGTAGTTTTATGAGTGTGGTTTCTGAAATAAATAAATAACAATGAATAAGTTAAATAAACATCAAATATTTAACTACAATGCTGGTATATATATTGCCATAATAAAGCAATACTAACTTTGGGAATTGCAGTATTAAATGAAAGTAAACAAATGAACACTAGGCGGAGCTCTTGCTCCAGTAATAGAACAGAGTCACAAGATTTGGTGCTAAACAAATTCAAATGGGCCTACTCGTGATAAATCACTTAAACAACACTCTCAAACTGTAAATAGAATACTAAATGATTACATCACACAAATATTTCAGCGATCAATATCAGCATGGTTAATATATGCATTTGCAATAAACACAGAGAGTGACCGTATATTTGTGCATGTCTGTTAATCGAAACTCTTCTTAACAATAGCATGTGCATAAATATCACCACAAAACAACAATATAGCAGTGAATAAACATACCTGCGTCTACTTATACACATACACATTCACTTAAAGTATATTAATGGAAACTTACGTTGTCAAGAACGCACACACATCCAAACAAACAACGATGTCTCGTTACAGCCGCAGATATGAACTTGTCCGTGCATGTCCCGACTCCGCCCACATGTGATGTCACAGATTAATTCAAATTAAGAGTTCGACAGGGATTTTATACAGTATTAATTCCATGTCTCATGTAGTTTACCTTGCTATTTCATTTGAGTTTACTAATAATTCAAAAGCTCTGCCTATGTTGATCCGTGTTTTCGTCCTGAGTCGATCAGAATCACGTTTGGCCTGACGAGCTTCAGCAGATAAAACTTTGTTTTGTTTTTTTATATTTATGTGGAGTTAGTGTTGGAGTGTGTGTTGTGCTGGAGGCAGGTCGTTTTTGAGTGTTATCAGACTCCATGTCGTCAGCTGCAGTGCCGTCGGTCGCATAGACTGTATATAAGGAGAGAGGCTCGGGAGCGCGCATGCACGTCACATCCGATGGATTTAAATCCGACCCGGAGACTTCGCATATGAATATTGGCCTTCAGAGGTTATAGCAAAACCCGACAAGTGGATCATTGTAATGTGTTATTACAACCCCTTCACACACAGGCAATAAAAAAAGAATTCATTTTAGAAGAAAAGTTCCATATAGCACCTTTAATAATAAAGGTTCCATTTGTTGACATTAGTTAACATGAACTAACATATTAATAGTAATATTGCATATTCATCTGCAGGGGCGTCGGGCCTAGCGACAGTGTGTGTGTGTGTTCATATCTGAACCTCATTGGTCTGTCACTGCTCGTCAATGTCAGAATATTTGAGATGACCAATCAAATCAAAGTAGGCGGGCTTTATGTTCACATACGCCGCTGAGCGCGAATTTTACTCAACGCTTCAGTTTACGGGCAAGTGCGAGATAAGATGTAAGTAGCTGAACTAAACATTTCATATTTGACAGTTTTTTAGGTCATAAATGTTAAACGAAAACAAAAATAATCAGGCAAACTAATAAACTGTTGTCTAATTTTGCCATTTTGAACTGAAAATGTAACTCAGTTTACTTGTATTGTGAGCGGACAACAAGACACATTAACAAAGCCGTTTTCATCATGCTATGCACAAGACTAATAATGAATGTGTACATATTGAGAATTAATAAAATACAATTTGTAGCCTTTAGTAAATTAAAAAAGTTCAGCATTAGGAGGGGAAGAGACAGGGCAAGATGAGGAGACTGAGAGAAAAAGAAAGGGTGATAGAGATGAGGAGAGAGCATGTAACGTTAACGTTATTGACAAATAATCTACTGCCCGCCAACATGGGTTTAAAGCTATTTCTTATGCCTTTTTTTGGCCTTCAAACATCTTGAAATGCACATATAAGAGAAATACACAATTTGAACCCCCTAACAACCTCAAATTTAGGACCTCTTTGATTATAAAGTCCTGTCTACGGCCCTGTATTAGGCATAAGATCAATAATGAATGTGTAGCCTACATAATGGCCCTCATTTATCAAAAGTGCGTACACCAAATTTCCAGCGTAGCCTACACCTGGCGTACACCCAAAACCACGGTGACTTTGAGATTTATCAATATGAACGTTGGCGTACGGCACGCTCAAATCCTACGCCAGCTCAGGAGGTGGTGTACGCACGTTTTGAGTTAGTGCGGAAATGCGCAGAAAAACAATTCCTAACACCACAAAACGCACTGACAAACTAACTGATCAACTGCTCAAACTGACATAACTAAAAGATATGATATATTGATATATGACCAACAACAACAACAACAGTAATTATAAACTTCAGTGTTTATTTTTGTGCAACATGGACTTCAATGTTTAATTTGTGTGACTTTACCAAAGCATTTGATTTATAAGCATATGTATTCCTTCAGTTGCGAGCCTGTGCGCTTTACCCTGACGTTTCATGGTTTGGCCCGGCAGGTGCGCACGGACTGGGTTCGGTAACGAAAGGCTTTCAATGACCAAAAAATAATTCAGACTGACAAAATAATAAAAAAAACATTCTTATTCTTTTAAATAATAATAATAATACAAATAATAATAATGACATTCTTCTTCTAAATAACAATAAGCGTCATTAATAATACAAAGCATACTAATAATACTAAGAATAATATTACAAATTGTCATGCAATTATTAATGTGAATGAATGGTACTCCACATCACATCATCATCATCATCACTATTGTACACCCCATACATGTAACGTGATTCGAAATTAAATGCTAATTCAAAAGACGTGCTGTAAAATATTGCATTGTGATAGGTCATTTCGGGCTCCACGTCAGAGAAGTTTCTCTTCTTTGCCGTCTTCCGTGTGTCCATGGCGTAAAATGAGGGCGTGGGGGAAGCGGAGACTTGAATATATAGGGGCGTGTTATTCTAATGACGATCGTTTTCAGCCGCGGGATTTATCAAGGGCAGGTATTGCGTACACCTGGATTTCAAAGGTACGCACAGCTTCATAAATCAAGCCTTGTTTACGACAGGGGGCGACTCGGAGTAATTCTCCTCTAAACCACCAGGAATCAGCAGTGAAGAAGTAGTTTGACATTTATTAGTAGTTTATTAATTTCTGATTCATATAAAAAGAGTAATAAATGCAGTAGGTTTATTGTACTTTCACTGCATGTAAACTAGTAAACAACTGAAGCCTTATTGAAGAGTGTTTAAACCTTAATTTCATCAGCAGGGCTTACTTCTGCTATTGTAGGCTTATTTTGTAAATATAAGCAGTTACTTTAGAGTGCAAACTGGGTGCTTAATGTAAATGTGTTCCTATTCAAAAAATGAGAGGCTTTTATGGTCGCCCATCAATACAAATGTCTCTGTGTATAGAAGGATCATAAACATGCTGATACAGACGCACCAGTTCGGCCAGATTCGGCTCGAAGTCGTTCATCTTCGG